AATCTTGAGACTCATAATGATGGCGAAACATTAGCCCAAACTTACGGTAGGAAAAGAGAGAGAGAGAAGGTTAAAAGAGAGAAAAGTGTTCTTATTGAATTAGTAGATTACAGCTAATTAAGACTGACAAACATGGATAAATAATGCTCAAATAAATAACAATATTGTTTGATCAATGAAGGAAGACATTGAATAAATAGAAGGAAAAAAAGCGAAAAGAGAGAGAAAAAGGAAAATGTTTCGAGACAAACATTGTTATCATCATTATATTTAACCTTTACACTTTTGATAGCGAGTTGATATTTTGTCTTCATTTGAACATAACGATATATTAATGGATAAAATGAGACTGAATGGAATCCAGTTTACAACTGTAATGCAATGAAAAGAAGAAACAATATTTACTCAATCACAATTAGTAAAATGAACCAGAAAAGAGGTAAAAACCATTCCCATATTAATTAATCAACCAACAATTGCAAGTAAATGTTTAATCGTTGACGTGAAAAGTAGCGAAAAAGAGAAAATAAAAAAATCTCAAGTTTAAGAAACGTCAACGAAATGTCAAACGAAAACTCATCAAGTATTAAAAGTTTCATTTCGACAATATTCGAGTCTCACCAACTTCCAGACTTCATTCCCTGGATGAATCCAGTTTTCCTTTTCTCTGACATTCTTTTCAACTAAGTTCAATTGGCTTTCGAATGAACAAAAGGCTGTTTAATTAGACAACCAACTGGGAGTTGAATTTGAAATAGCAAATTATTCAATAACTTAATAGAAGGAAAAAAGTTGAAATTGATTGAAGAATTTTGAAATTAAGAAAAGAAAAAAAAATTCGGTTGAAATTTTCATTAATATGGAATAAATTGTTATTAAATTGAAGTAAAATGTTCTTGAAATAAGAAGTTGAAATGGCTGGAAAGATTATCATGTTAATGATGATGCTGTTGATAAAGGCATCAGTGGAATGGTGAAGAAAAAATGTTGCGAGACTAACAATGAAATTCCCATGAAAATTGATGTTATCATTGCATAAATCAGAATGAATCAAATTGAATGAGTTTAGCCTAGTCGAGCAATTGATGAGAAAATAAAGATTCATTTTGCAACCTTTCTCACATGTAAGAGGCAAGTAAAATGAATAGTTCACAAAATGGAAGCCATTATCATTCAAGAATCACTGGCGTCAGTTTCACCAATTTTTCTGTTTAAATTTCTTTTTTCGCAAATTCTTATTCTAAAGGGATTAGATATATCATTAGTTTCCAATGCATTATCATTACAATCATTGAGCGATCCATTTTTATTCTTGTTCATCTTATTCATTTTCTCATTATCAGATCAAATTGTTTAAACTTTACCATAAAACACCGAGTCTCTCATCATTTGTTTGTTTAAGCAAAAAGCAATATTTCAACTTGCATTAACGATTCCATCTTCAGACGAAACTTCATCTTCAAGATTAAAGGAGAAAATTTTTCTTCTTTTTCCTAACTTTTCTTTCGTCTACTGGTTAACCTTTCGTTGCATCAAGTAGAGTTGATTAGCTAATTGATGAATAAAAGGTAAAAATGGATTTTCTCCTTTTCCAGGAAACTTTCAATTCATTAAATTGTTTAGTTTTCAGTTACTTTGTTCATATTTTTTCTTCGCTTGGGAATGAATGTTACAATTGAAACAATATCGTTGGATTTAATTTGATAAAAGATGAAAGTTAAAGTTGACCCAAATTGGAATCATTTGGATATTTGGTGAAATGTATATACTGTGTTAGGTAAAGGGTGAAGTTGCTGTAAGAAGAATGTTTATTTCGAATAGTTTACTATCGATTTTCAATTAACTTGTTGGAAGTTTGGTTTCGTAGGAAGAAAGAAGGCAACAAGAAGAAGAAAAAAGAAATGAAACGAAACAAGTTTCCATCCAATAAAGCGTAAGAATAACATTGAGCTTAGACAATTCTGAGGCAAGAAAGAAAAAGTAACCAAAAGCTAATAGTAAAAGAGGAAAGAGCAAAATCCTTGGCTTTAAGACATTTTCCGTTCAACTTTTCTTCATTTTACTTTTTTTCCTTTCTTTCTTGTTCCCTCGTTTTTCAGCTCACATTTTGTGACTTGCAACTTTAAATGGACATCACTAACAGAATATCTTGAAACTATTAGCTTTTATTATATCCTATTAAGAAGGTTTATTCAAGCTATTTCTTTCCTTTCGAGAAATGAGCATATTAATAGAAGACTTTTTCAACTCTTGTTTTACTTTTTTCCTTTACTCTTTCAAAAGCTGGTTGATTAATCATCAACTTATGATCGTCATTTACAGTCAAGACAAACCGAGTGTAAAGGTGAATTTGAAAAGTTACCGAAAATGTTTTAAAGTGCAAAACGATTGCAATTACTTTCCGCTTCAATTTAAAGTAGTTTATGGTGCAAGATGAATCAAGAAATGAATGTTAAATCATTTGTTTTAACAGAGTTTTAGAAGCACGAATAAAGTTGTTCCAGAAAACATTTTCTGTGATTTTTGCAGCGATCAGCATTTGAGTGAGTCGAGCATAGTTTTGTGCTAATACTTTGATCGTTTTAAGGTTGGCTTATTAGCCATAGCCAGACGCTCAATTGCATATATTATTGACTTGATGCTCATGAAGATGCGAAAACGAAAAGAAACAATCGCGAAGAATGAGACGGTTTTATTGAGCGATGCAATGTTGAAATGAATATTTCTAAGAATGTCGCTTGATGCAAATTTTGACGATTTACTAGTTAGAGAGAAGATATCGATTGAATAAGGATTTAAGAGCAGATCAATTTGATGAGATGAAAAGCCGAGCATTTGCTCATTAATTACGATAATAACAATTCATTGACTTGAAATTTGCTTTCCTTTCCCAATAAACTTTCATCTTGTTCAATGTGAATGGTTAACAAGATGAAGAAACATCAACCTTGACTTGGCCGTTAATGACTTTGATAGATTAGTCAAAAATAGCATAGAATGAGAAGGAAAAGAGAAGAAATAAAAGTTAATTAGCTCATCATCATTAACAGTGTGTATTTGTACCAACTTTCATTTTCCCTCAAGATAATGTTCAACTTGTTCAACAATTGAATCAATAAGCTTTCAGTATTCGCCTTTGAAATCAGAATCAGTGAACAAGGAAAGCAGTTTATTCAAGTGTAAACCATGAAACCAGAGTAAATCAATACAGGTCAATGTAAACCTAAACTGTGTGCCAACACAAAAAAACTAAACAACCAAAAAGTGACCGAAAGTCGACTCTTTTCCGTTTGCCTTACGAACCTGTTAAACAAATTGAGCCAAACATCAATCATGTCAACAGTAATGTCAACTGTTGAATGATATCGCTTGACAAACTTCATTTATTCATGATACAAGTACAAGAAGAAAATGTAAAAAGTTAAACTCTTGAAAACGTTTTCACCATGAAATTCGTGTTTAATTTAATGTCGAGTTTGTTTTTTCGGTGCAAAGGGAAGAAAAGAGGCGAAGAAAATTGCTGCTCATAAATAATTTTTCTTTAAGTTTACACTTATCATGGTCGAGTTAAATGTTGATATTGAAACTCTTTTTTTCTTTGAATGTTTAAAGAGTTGAGACTAAAAGTTGAACATTAATAGAGAATAGGTAAAGAGAAGAAAATGGTTGAATGAATGAGAAAAGTTTTTTTGGTGAAATGTCATAAAGATGAAAGTTATCGTTGGTTATCAACACTGGGAAGGAAATGTGTAAAGATACAAAGAGTACATTTATACCTTTTTTGTTGGTCTCAAGGGAAGAGAGACGTTAAATACTCGTAAAGGTAAAGAAGATGAACAAGATTGTGAGAATGAACATGTTTCTCTTTCATTTTCATTCTTTTTGCTGTTCTTTTTGTCTTCATCTTAATGGCTATCATGGTAATAAATACCAATGAAACTAGGTCCATTGTTTGTCTTGTATTGTTGTTTGGATATAATGTTACTGTGAGAGAACAGGTCAAGAGATGTTCGAGTATAAAATAAAGGAAAAGTTGGTCATGAGAAAATGGAATTGAATGAAACAAGATGATGCTCATGATGATGATGATAATGAGCAAGATGAAACGAACCGTGCATTTTATGAGAATCAAGATGTGAAAAGGTGAAAGAGGAATGGAGAGAGGAAGATGAGAGGAAGAAGAGCAAATTATATCAATACTTGGTTCCAACTTTTTTTTGGCTTTTCTTTGAAACAAACCAAAACATGAACAAAGTGATGTCCACTTTATCCACCTCAGTCTACAAAAATCCCTGTGTTTCAGCTGATAAACTCGATTCTCTAGTTTTTTGCATTTGTTGTTTCATCAAAGAGATACATTTTGCTGAGATTTCCATCTCAATTGTTACTCATTTTGATGTCTTTGTTGCTCTCATTGCACTGGACATTATCATCATTAAATCATCATGAAACATCGAAAGCAAGAAATTGTCTCGTCATTTCAAATCTCGATTTGCAACTTTTTCTAGCCATATTTGGTCTCACAGAACATTCCATAACATGGAAAAACATTAACGTCTAAAGTTTAAGTATCTAAAGATACGAGCAGAAGGCCTGAAATTACGAATTAATTAGGAGGCAGAATAGGTTCGATCAAGATGCAACTCCATAGCAACTGTTCGCTTTTGAACTGGAGTTGCTGTTGGAATCAACTTTGATCATTTTCTTGGATTTTCAACTAGAAAATCCTTCTTTTTAGTTGAAAATGAAATTTCATCTGATTATCTGATCGAAATTTAGCAATTTTGAGAATTTTAGATTGGAAATCGATATGAATTTGGTCCGATATTTGCTTACTTTCCCTTGGAATACCTCATTTGAGAAACTTATGTGAAACTTGTCTTTAAAATTAAATTGATTTCCATTCTTTTCCAAAGTTATCGAGTTTGAGGTTCTTTTACTTTAACATTTTTATACGGTAGTAATCGAGCAAATAAAGATTTGGATAAAAGTAAATTTACCTGTTTGATTATCATCAGGCCACCATCCAAGTGGACAATTTTCACAGTGATATTCATCTCTTAAAAACTGATTCTTTTGACATGGAACACAAACCCAACAACATTTAACACTATCACTTTGGATATTCTGAAAAGGAATTGCAAAGTAGAACAAATATTAGGAACTTTTTAATGAAGAATTGAAATTGATGCAAAATGCATTGAAAACGATTTTCTTTCTATTCTTTGTATGTTATTCTTTCTTTTTTTCGACATTAAATGAACTTTTAAAAATGTAAATTTGACATTCTCATTATCAAACTAATGAAAATGATTATCGAATAAAAGGAAAATATTAATTCATTGAAACAAGATGAACCCGGTTTTGATTGATGAGAAAACATTTCTTCTCGAATATCTTCTTCTCTAACAAACTGGTAAAAGTAATGAAAAAATATGAACCAAGAATGACGTTGAAAAGGAGAATGAAAAGTTTACTTTGAATAAAAACAGATTAAAGTACATTTTGATTGATATTATTTATCCATTGAATCAGATTGCATTACAAGATGAAAATGGAGATAAATTGAGATTCGGATTGATTCGCTTCAGACTATTATCACTGATATTAATACATGAGGCTCATCATGATGATGCTAATAATGTTCAACTTGCCTGTCGACATTTATTAATATTTCAATATTTTTTTCTTTTCGCTGCAACTTCTCATTGTTCATCATGAAACATCCAAACATTGTAACTGATATAAATGTAAATATCATTAGTAGCTTAATCAACTGAAACGAAAGAAACTGTCGTAACGATGTTTTGAAAGAGAAAGTTTTTTTTCGAAAAAATATCTTTTGATTTTGATTTGCTTAATGAAATGCTGGATGAAGTTTTGAAGTTTCCAGAGTTAATTTTGATTCTAGAAAAAATTTAATCTTTCATTATGAAAGTTTTCTCATCTTGACAGGTTAATCAGTTTTGATGCGAACATTTTCATTTCAAGATTATGAATTTCTATCAAGAGTCTTCTGTCAATATACCAGACTTTGGAAAATGCTTGTTTCTTGTTCGAAGAAATGAACGTAAATTTCGAATCCAATTTCGCTGATGAACATGTTTTTTTGGGTTAAACGTTGTTCGAGATAAACTTTGCTTGGATGAATGGATTAGGACGAAGCATCTTTGAATACAATGAAGTACAATGAAGCAATGATAATAATGATGGTGAATGATGAATAATACAGAAGAAACTGAATTGTAATAATAAATATTATAGATTAACATTGGATAAATGTAATAACATTTCTTTCCTTTTATATTTCTCTTCTTATTTCTGGGATAGATTTTTATTAGTTTTGCTCCTTTTTCATTGAACAACTTACACCAACAATTGTCTAAACTTGCAATCACAATTTATTATCATGAGAATGGTAAAATTGAAGCTTTCTTGTTCAATGAAAATTGCTACAGAAATGAATTTACTGTCTTTGTTTCGTTGAACCATCAATATTTAGCCTTTTTTTAGTGCAAAGAAAAAGGTTTTCAAATATTGCCATTTCTTTGAAAAGTTATCAATATCAATACATCGCATTGAGCCAACTCCCACGCTCATCGAACCTCAAGAACATCATTGTTAGAGACTTAACATGAAGTCTCCAACATTGATGTGGTTTGAATAAGCGAAAGAGTTTGTTTCATTGCTCGAGTTACTCACTTTTGCATATCCTTTTTCACAGGGTTTACTACAAACAGATTTAGGTACATCTTCATCACTCATAAGAGTCTTTAAAGGCCACTGAAAGGGTCTCCATGTAACTAGCTCATTTGAATTTGAATCCCATGAGCCAACATGAAGATAATCATAAGTATTGTCGTCAAGTTTTTGAAAATTCATAATATCATAGCGACCCGGTGGATCGCCAAATTCATTGAATGAAACAGTCTCATTGGACCATGTAAAGGATACGTTAAGTAAATGGTGTAAAAAAATTGATCCATTAACGGGCAACATGGCTGGACATGAGCTTGAAGTGTGTGGACACATTTTCTTTTGCATATTGTGAAGTCCATAAGCCATTGTCCAAATGGCTTTAATAACAAAAGCCAGTTTAGTGTCTTGCTTGTAACGTTCGCGTAAATTTTCAGTCCCTAAATGGAAGCGAACACAACGAAAAGAAGAAAAGAAAAGTTATTTCCATTGTTTACCTTTTTTCCTCATTAATTGGCTTTCGATAAACTTTATCCGATTATTTACTGTTGGCTTTTTGGTTAGCCTTGACTTGGATTATTCCGTTTGATTTAATCATTGTTCTTGAACTTTCAGTTGACTCGATTACAATTGTTATTCAACTGAAAGTTGATTTTTAGTTTGATAATTACCTGAACATGATCTATTAAATAATCGAGTTCCTGGAAAAGGAGCCTGATTCGGTAGTAAAGGTGTTTTGGCTTGTGCTTGGTCTTTTACTACTTTCGGTGTCAAAGAACAGTTGAACTTGAATTCCCAAAATTCTTTGAACCAAGGATTTCGAGTATTATTATCAGGATGAAGGTTGAAGTAATATGGGTCAAACTCATTAACATAAGGTGAATGAATTCGAACAGAGATTCCACCAGAAGCTTCAACCTCATACCCTTCAACAACATCATAACGATCAGACCAACCGTCGCTAAAGAAAAGCAAGAATAAAAGGAAAAGTTAAAGATTTTCGAAGAAGAAAAAGATCGAAAAAGTGTGCGTAATTATGTTTAGCAAACTAATCAAAGTTGAGTTTCGTCTTTTCTGCTTCTATCAATTTGCACATTCGATGAGTTGTTAACCAAGTGAATGTACATTATAACATTAATTGCAACTGAACAAATGAAATTTATATCTTTTCACCCTTTTTCATGTGCAATAATTAACTAGCAACAAAAGAGTAAAGAAAAGTTATGAGAATTATACAAAACTGGAAAATCTAATTATCCCAATTATTGTTTTACCCTTATCATTATATAACCATTATAAAGTAGCACTTCTTTCTTGTTCTTCCAATTCTCAATTTTCAATAGTTCTCATGTTTAGTAGGAATAATTTTCAACCAAAATTTTCCCTGAATTTCCTTTTGCTCTTCATTAATATCATTACATTTTCCTATTGCAGCTTATTATGCAAATTTTCATTCTTTCTTTCATTCTTGATGAGCAAATTTATTGAATTTTTGTACAAAACTTTGCAAATCAAATGCGAAGAGAAAAACTTTTCCAATTTCGACTTGGTCTCATTATGGATTCGAAGATTTCTCGTAATTGGATATTTCGTGAAATGGGATTATTGCATTCCAAGTTGACCTGAAAGGTTAAGTTCTGACTCTAGTATTCTGTTTAAGAATCTTATGTTCTTTGAATCTTCACCATTTTTGTAGTTTCCTAGTTGATGGCTTTAAATGTAAATTTTACAAGTTTATTCATTCCTTGAGTTTTAATATTTCTGGAGATTCTTTGCAGACTGATGCTTTTTCAATTGCAGAGTTTGGCCTAAATGCTTGCAATGAATCAAAATGCAGTCGAGTTGCATTTTCTCAAGCTGCATTTCGAGAAATTCGGAAATGTCTGAAAATCGATGGTTATATTTTTCTAAGAAATCAATTTGGTTTAATTTAAAATTTACTGGCCTCTATGCATGAGGTTAAATTTTGATAGGCAGTTGTTGAGTTGCTATTTTACAAGTTATAAATTTATCAGCATCAGTAAAGAGATTCTTGAGAATCTCTTTCAATATTCATTTGAATATGGCTCGAGTATACAGTAAGAATGGCATGATAAATCAGCACAGTCTTGCTTCTGTCTTTTCATTAAACTTTAATCATGTTCTAAGAAACTATCATTAAAAATTTATCCAAAGACCGTTTCTGATTTTTGTATAAATTAAAGATTTATAAAGATTGTCTTCCTTTTGATGAACGAAATTTCTATTAGCATCCAGAAGATGAAATCAATTTGGGATTCAATTTGAATTTGGAAGGATTTCAATAAGTTAAAGAAAAGCAAAAGTTTAATCAAATGTCCAGCTATGCAAAGGATTCGAAAACCCACTTTTCTCTTGCAAGTAAACTAGTAAAGTATTAATGTCTAGTTTGAGATAGCCTCACATTGCTGTAAATACCCTTGACAGCAAGTCTGCACGAGCTCTACGAACCTCAAAACCTTAGATCTAGCTTTATATGCTTAAAGTCAGATTTAGCTTAAAAAGAACAATCTCAAATCGAATTTGATAAACTTTTTAAAGTTAGTTGTTCTTATAATCTGGTGTTTTACTCGTTACGACTTTATCGAGTTTTTGATTCAATCTTCATTTAGCCACAGTTATGTTTAGCTTATGCAATGTAATGGGAAGTGTTCATGATGAGAAAGTTTCATATAAGCTAACACACAAGGAAGTGTCCCCAAGTGATACTAAAATTTCGAGCTTCTTTGGACTAAAAATACTTCAATGGGTCAGACATGAACTTTGTTAGGCCTTTCGTTTCGCAAATGCTTTGATTGCAAAGTTACAGGATGTTGAACTTGTTTTTCACAGGTTAATGTGCTTAATGCGAATAATGTGGATCTTTCATAAAATGGTAAAGTCGCTTTTTTATCACTTCTTAATAGATCCTTATGGCTTCCAATGGGCTTAACCCAAACAAAAATTGAAATTTTCGTATAACCTTGGGACCCTTCCTTGTTTAGGCTTAAATGGGCTCATCACCTATTTATTGACTTCATGAAGCACAGATTTTGCAAGAATAAGAAAGGAAAATGATTTCAATCAAATTCAATGCTCTTGCAACAGAAGCTTGGAATTAATTTTTTACGATCAACAAGATTGCCTGATTTTGGACAGAATAAGAAAGCGCATTAAATTATCTCATTTAAGACTTCATTTTCATTTATAACCTTCTCTGGCATTAATCATTCATCTTGAACATTCCCAATTATTTTGCACAGATTTCCCCAAAAGAGCTTGAAAAGGTGCAAAAAGAAATTCAATTGCTTTCTTCTGTTTCATGTTGAAACGAATTTATTATGCATTGTGTAATCTGTGCCTTTACAGGTAAAGAAAGTCAAAGATGACTTACCTTCCAACAAGGAGAAACTCTCCGGTTGCATTCAATCGACGTATTGCTTTAAGTATACCTCGAACTGTCATTCCTTCACAAAAACAGGCGACAACTTTGACAGACTTTGTTTGCAGAATGGATATCACAATTTCATCAAACTTCCAATCCTCAGCATTATTGGTGACAACTTCAGTATTTGCCAGGCAAATGCCAACGTCTTGAGCTAAATTTTTAAAAACCTCCATCAAACTACTTCCATAGTTGCCTGTCAATCAAGAATAAATAAAATAGATATTAAAATGAAGTAAATTCAAGATTCAAATCCTTCACTTCGAACCAAATTTTCCACTGAAAAAGAATGCAAAAAATGTGAGGAAAAAAGTTTTGTTCAAAGTTTACTTCATCAAGAAAGTTGACATTGAAATGAAGACAACGAAAAAGGCAAACTCTTTACCAACCAGAAATTCATTTTTTACCTTTTCCATGGCAAAAATGATGGACTAAAAGTCTTTGAGAAGTCAAATGTCTTACTCAAGCTGAGCAGTCAAAAGTCGACTTGAAAAGCGCAGTTGAATGTTCGAAAAAAAGAGTTTCTTTTTTGCAGTTCGTGTGAAAAGAGATTGAATTGTAAATAATATTTCAATTTTGGATAGACTTTGATTGTGTTTAATAAACCAGATAATAGGTTTAGACACAAAAGAGGTGAACATTTGATGAGCCGAAGATGAGGATGCCTCATGAACAAGAATGAAGGTTAATAAGCCGATGAATAAAATGATGATGATAATGAAAAGAAGGGAAGAGAAAAGGATAAAAACTCGTTGCAAGTGACATTAAAATTATGATGTGAATACATAAAAAAAAGTTGCGTAAAATTATAATAAACATTATGAGTTTGGATGACAAATAATGATAAAACTCATGCTGGTAGTGAATCAATGAAATATTGGTTGTTATGGTTACTCTTCAGGGTAAAGCAAGTTTCATCTTTTCTTTTATTTACAGAAAATATTTTTCATTCCTTTTTTTACGAGATTTTCTTGTTCTTACTTTTTTCTCACTTCTTTTCAGTTTTTCATTTTTACGACTATTATTCAGCTTATTATCATATTAATCTGCAAGTTTTGGTACATTAACCCAAATCACAAAGTTTGCAGTTTTCAATGCGATTAAATTACAAAGGATCAACAATTATTCAAATTTACTTTTCAACTGAATACAGCCTCATGCAGTTTTAATTGGAAACTTGAACGACTTTACTATCGATTTTGTCAAACAGAAATTGCAATTTTTCTGGATAAAAATTAATGGAAAGTCACTGAGAGAAACTCATTAATGTTTAAATCGTAATACTTGATGGAGTTTCTCGATTCGTGCAAAAATAATCAATTGAAATTTTCAATTTTTCTATCCAAATTCGCTTTGCGTTTTCGATTTGCTTATCGAGTAAAATCGAAAGAGCAAATAAAAATTGATTGAATAAGCAAACTCAATTCAACTTAAAATGACTTATTCTAGCACAAAAGAGAAGTCAGACTTTCCTCATAAGATAGGCAGACATCGACTTAAACCAAGGCCGGTGATCTCGAGTAAAAGTAAGCCTGGACTGTCTTCTTAAGAGCTTACACATTTGATGGTGAAGTCAGAAGTAAAAGACTTCATTGCATTACAAGACTCGACTAGACTTGCTATTCAAATTGTGACCCTGTTCTAGTTTACATTTCTGCCTGAGTTTCCCTTTTGCTCAAATTATCATTTCGTTTGTAAGAAAATGTTTAAGACAAAAAATGAAACAAAAGACTTGACTTGAGAAATGCTTTTTGGTTTATAACTCGAAATTTACAACTTTACATTAATCTTTTCAACCACTCCAAGTTATGACAGATTTCATCGATATATTTTATTCATCTTTTTCCAATCGTTCAAGGTAAATATATCATGAATTCAGCCACCAAATTTAAAGATGACTTTAAGAGAAATGCTACCAAAAAGAGACTTTCGTTCAAAAGCTAAACTCGTAAACTTCACTTTACCTTTGATTGGAAAAAAGCTTCGGGATAATTTCATTTTCCATTTTCTTTTAAATTTTTCGAGTTTTGGTTAGAAAAATTTTGATTTCATATTTTAGTAGAAAAATTCATTGATCCAATCAAACTTATCTTAATCTTTCACCTGTGTTCGATCAAACAGAGGTTGAGTAAACTTGGACAAAGTGAATCATTTGATGAAACTATCCTACTGAATGATGCTATATTTGACCTTTAAATAGCTAAAAAAGGGTGCAATTTGCTCTTCTCTTGACCAACTCAAACATGATGGATAAGATAAATAAAATAAAGTGAAGGGAATGGAATTGAATTGAATGGAGGAAAAGAGAAAAAAAAATTTGTAGAAAATCTTTTGTTCACTGAAAGAAACGAAAATGCCAAGTCAAGGTAAATGCCATCATTTTTTACCTTTTATCATGTTTACCTGTTCACTGTTATCTTACAAGAGCAACAAATAAATACAGTAAGCAAGACGAAGAGGAAAAAGGTAAAGAAAAGGAAACTGAAAAGAAATAAAAGTTATTCCAAAGTTAAGTTTAAATTTTGACCAATCCTGGATCAAGAAGATTCATTTCCACTTTCTTGAACTTTCCAACTTATCTTCATCATTATCACTGGGAGGCAAAATTTTGATTTTCTTCAACTTTTTTCCTTCTTTTCTTTTCACTTTTTTTGTTTTCCATTTTTCAGTCGAAATCTTTTGTCGAACAAAAAGGTTTGGTAATTTAAATTGCAATTAATCATTTACTAACCATCAGTGTAAATTGCTGAAATGTAAGTCCAATTATTTTTCAAAATTAGGTCGACCATGACTTTGGCTTGGAGTTCATCCGATGGAACCACTCGGAGAAAGTACATGTAATGACTTTTTAAACTTAAATCTTTGCTCGTTGCTGAATAACCTATTTGTGGAATGGCAAATAATTGTAAAAGATTTTGAACCTTTTGTTTGTCCAAAGTAAAGTGAGCAATAAATGACGTTTTGAAACAGTTTGGTTGGTGTTCAATTGTTCATCAATTGTTCCGTGTTAAATAAGGGATTTAAAGTGGATCATGGTGTTAGTTGGTGTTGCGTGTTAAGTTTTTGGTTAATTCGTTACACCAAGTTGATGATGTGATGTTACCATGAGAAGGAGGGGAACAAGGGAAAAAGACAAGAATAAATGTTAATTTTTTTCGATGCAAAGAATCAAGAGAATGATTACAGTTTTTTACTCCATGATGATATTCAAATGAAGTTGTCAAAAGTTGAGTCACTATTTTCATGATCAATCGTCGATTTTGAGCATTTGTTTACCTTGATGAGTAAGGTTTCAATTTCGTCGATTGTTCTTTTTGATTGTTTCTGAATTTTGTTTCTTGTCGGTCAATGTGTTGAAGTGTTTATAACTGATTCTGTTGAGACATGGTTCATTTAATGTGTCAAACGCACGATGAGCTTGGTTTCTGTGCTTCAACAGTTGGGTTAAGAGATTCAAGTTTAATCCAGTTAAGTGAACATTGGGCTTGCAAACAACTTGGAGTTTGAATCAATTTAATAATTGACAAGTGACTGTAAACTCAATGTTGAGGTTTCATTTTTTAAGCGATTTCAACTCGAATGGGCTTCAGAGTCAAAGTTTATAATCAATCAACTTTGACTAGGTATTGACATCGTTTCAAACAAATTGTACAACTTCATTTCGAAAGTCATAGCGAAACATAGTCGTAACAATTTGTGAAGATTTCTCGATGTCGATCGCTCACAGTTCAATACGGTAATGAGACGTGTTTAAATAGATTCGTCAGTAAATAGTTGAGAATTTTTCTTTATCGAGAATTGAGAATTGAGTTGAGAATTGAGTGAGAATCGAGAGTTCCAATACAAATCTAGATATTTCTAAGTTAAATAAGCAAACACTATTTTTGAATTTATTGAACTATTCATTTATTTATTTCGTAAAGATTTTGAAAGTGTTATTAGTAATACAAGATTTTTATGAAAGATTGTTATGAAATGTTATTTGCTTTCAAAGTTCAGGATATTCTGATGTTCGAAGAAATTAAGAGGAAAGGTTCTCTCGGGTTATTGCGGAATCCGTCTTTTGCTTATTGGAAATTTCAATATTTAATTTTGCTCGAAGGTTAGTTTGAACGTTAAAGGACAAGGTCCATTAACTCGACTCTAATCAAGAGGATTGGCTCATTTCTTGGGAAACCAAATTTTCTTTACGATATTATAATGAAACACTTGGAAGAAACTTTTTTTTCCCTGCCAAGTAAACATTCTGAATCACTGAACTATAGAAGCTTAAGGTTTTCTTCTTCTCATCATCATCACCTAACTCTATTCATTCATTTCATTCTTTATTCTCTTTCCTTTTTTTACCATCTTGTTTCGTGTAACTTGCTCTTGACAAGGCTTCTTCCAGTCCGAGTAAACAAAAAGACGAAGTAAAAAGAAGAAAATGTTGAAAAGCAAAAATCAAAGTGAAAAAAAAGACAAAACAAAAGGATTGAACAAGTGATTCAAACATGAAGATCTTTTTACCCAAAATTATCATGCACCATTTTACCTTGTAATATTGCTCAGAGAATGTGAACAAACTTTGATTCAAAGAGATTGGCATTTAGCCTGAGGATCCAGTAACCCTTGAAACTCTTCTGTCTTTTCTTGTTTTCTCGTCAAATTATTTTTCAATCAACAACAAGAAAGGAAGTGAAAAAAGTTCGACAAAAGTCAAACATTGAAAGCAAAACAAGAGTCAACTCAGGTTAAACAGTTCAATTCAATGGACTAATCCTTTCCAATGAAAAACAAAACTCCATTTATTGGTAAACAAACATTGACAAAAGACCAAAATCGTTCAAAAACATTCACAATTAGAGTTTCAGTTTGACAAAAAATGTAAATCTTTATAACAACATTCGTCTCCAGTTTAACTCCCAGCTTCTAGGTTATAATATTTATCTCAAAGAACTCTTTGACTTTAGCTTTAGACTTTTTCTCCAAGAATTTCCAAGCCAATTAAACTGCTGAGAAGAAAGCGATTTAAGGTTGAACTTTGTTCGAAAAGTTTGGAAAAGAAATTCATGGAAAAATGAAATTTTTGGCTCACAATGAAAGTTCATTCCCTAGTCACTCATCTTATTATCCTTCGCTTTGTGAGAACTTGAAGATGTAATTCCAAGTTCGAGTTTTAATTGGCTCTTTAATCTAATCAGTGGTGACATTTTGTTCTGGTTTTGTTGATGAGAAGAGATGAAATTGGTGTTCGATAATATTGTGAGTTTGGATGAATCAGAAAATGAAGATAAATTGTAAAGAATAAGAAAAGGATAAAAAGTTGATAACATGTCATTCGGAAGTAACTCACCTATTGAAGCCAATTTATTTAATGATTCAGATATCATTATCAATATGATTAATGTTATCACATGAGACAGAATGATATATCTATGAGAATTGAATGTTACAACAAAAAGAATTGTAATCGAAAAAATAGTTTTTTTCTCTTCCATCCTTTTTGCCATTCTTTTACTGAGCAACAATAAAAATTGTCATTTATTCACCAAAAATTTTATTCCAATCCAGTTCAATTCAGTTGATATAATTGTCTTATTTCTGCTCATTTCTTCAGCCAACTCACCAGAATCCATCAAAATTCATCATTTTCTTTACCATCTACTAATTATTTCTCTATTTACGTCTTTTCTATTGTTTCAAGGAAATATTCTTTTCCTGCTCAACTCAGTTCATTGCGCGTCTCTATTATGTATTCATAATGAATAAAGATGATGAACATAAAATGAGGTAAACATTGAATAATGAAATTATCTGAAAAGAAAATTTGTTAATTAGTAAGAAATAAACCAAAAACTCGTTTAGAATGAAACATGAAAGCGATTTTTTCTTTTCGCGAATAAATTTTCATCAATTAGTCAGAGCATGGAAATTTATCGATCTTATGAGAGAAAATCATTATCAGTTTCTGTTTCTGTTTCATTCGACAATCTTTGGATAACTGCGAAAAGATATTCGAAATTTTCTGTAAATTCGATTCAAGTTATCTTAAAACTATTTCCAGCCCAGAACGTTTCTCTCACGGATGATTCCTATCTCTTGCAAGACTATCTTGAAGATGATTTGTTTATGTTGCGAATGTCTTGATAAGTTAAAGCTTCAAGTTTCTCATCGAGAAAAGGTCGAAACATTAGATGCTGATTTGTGTCGATTTCGGCAGAAAGTGTTCAGCGAATGGAAACTAAGTCTGATTTTGATCTTAAAGCGGTAAAAGTTGCTTATTTGTAAGGTGAAGAAACCAGACATGATTGGGTTTTAATGTTGTATGTTAATGGATTGAAGTTGAGCGCAACGTTTCCTGTGAGTAGGAAAAGTAAAGTTATTTTTATGTTTTTTGCTCAACTTTTGATTCAAGATCGAGGCTAATGTGAATGTTAGTGACTGTTTCAATGAAGATGAATGAAGAGCCATAAATTTCGTTGAAGGTTGACATTGCTTATTAAATTAGGTAAGTTGAAACAAAAACTGAATCTCAGGTGAATTCATGTCAATTGAATATCTTCTCCAGCATTCGTACAGTAATTTAATTTCACGGAATCAAACATTTGTGAAATTAGTTAGTATTGCAAATAGTTACAAACGAACATCAAATACAGTGAAATAAGATGGAAACTCGAGCTCACGGGGATAAGTAATGCATCAGTTTCTCTCGATTCTCATTCTCAGTCAAATTCCATGTCGTTAGACATAGAACATGCATTCACATTACAAGGAAATTCAGTTTTAATGTTCTTTGAAAGGTCAACAAGCTAAAGTTACAGAAAAAAATCATTAAATTCGTCGTCATTTCCATATTAACTAAGCCTTTCTAAACCCAAAAATCCCTTTGAACTCATCCTTAACCATCTTCCAACAAAAGAGAAACAAAAGTCAAAAAAGTTCCTATTGATGAACCGATACTTTTCAGTTAAATGTCCAAACTCCATCTGTTGAATAATCAACAAATATTTGGAAGTTCATTTTTTCCAAGTTCATGATCCAATTGAATTTCAAGACATTAACAGAAAACATAGAAAGGTAAAAGGAAAAAATTCCAAGCTGGTTTTCATGATGAATATACTAACACTTGTATGCATTAAAAAAAGAAAATGTAAAAAAGGAAAATCACTTTTCCTCATCTTTCACCAAAATTCACCAGGAAAAAAGGATAAACTTTTTCTTCTCTTTACATTTGAAAAGATGAAAATTTTGGTTAAATTTGAATAAAAGGAAAAAAAAGAAATGAGCAAAAGGCATTAGAAAAGCTCGAGATGGAGAGAAAGAAAAGAAACTTTAAAAGTCTATTCATTTTACCAGTTCTTATATTATGTTACATACTCGGAATATCATCTGAATTCCTGGTGAACAAGAAGGAGAAAGAGAATGAAGGTGGAAATGCTTTGTATTCTCGCGGTTAACAAGTAATATTCAAATGTATAAATCGTCGATTCTTATTCATTCACATTATTCCCTTTATTCATGTTACCAATAAACCCTTTTCATTCTTTACTTTTCCCTCATCATTTATTAATATTATTGCAAATACAAGGAAGGGAGGGAAGAAGAAGAAGCAAAAAAAACTCCCAGTAACTTGACTCATTCATTCATCGTTATTACATTTTACTTCTCAATTTGGGCCATTTTCATGCTTCTTCATTTTCCCTCAGTTCGACTCTTTTTTTATTGTTGTTGTTCATCTCATTACAAATGGGAATCAGTTGAAAGATGATTCAATAAACTTGAAGAAAAAGAAGAAACTTGTTTAGTTGAAGAAAAAATATTGAAATTTCTATCACTTTTCATTCACTTTTATCATGTTATGTTTTCGTTTTTTACTTTTTTCTTCTCGACTATCGATTGTTCGAGGTTGGCAAGAAATGTTTTTGTCAATTGGTTATTC